CACAACCCCCATTCCCCGTCCTCCTGTGCTGGTGGTGGGGAGGTGGTGGAGAAATGGGGAGTGAAGTTGAACCCAGGAAGAAGGGAGGGGTGAGGGGAAAGTGTTTTAAGATTTGGTTTTTATTTTCTCATTATCCTACTCTGATTTTCACTGGCAATAAATTAAACTAATTTCCCCAGGTTGAGTCTGTTGTGCCCGTGACGATAGCTGCTGAATGACCTCTCCCTGTCCTCATCTCAACCCATAAGCTGCTGCTTGTTGTACTTTCTCTCCCCTGCCCAGCTGAGGAGGGGAGTGATAGAGCGGCTTTGGTGCGCACCTGGTGTCCAGCCAAGGTCCACTCACCACAAAAATTTAAATGTGTCAGAAGACTTTCAGGTGAGACTTACTAAGACTAAAATAAGACTTTTGTGACTTAATATTTGGGATATCAATTCTGTTCCCCCTCCACCAGCGGAAGAAACACTCTCCTTCCTCTTAACTGTACGTACCACCACAACCAAATGCAGCCATTTTGCCATTTAGGAGAGCTAATTAAGTGGCCTCGCACACGTACTTGTGGAATCATGGCCGGGTCACTTCTCAGAGCTGAGTGTAAATTTGTCTCTTATCAGCTGTTTAGACTTGCATGTATCTGGAATCCTAATACGAGCATCATTTGATGTTTAAGTTAATAATTTAATCCTTACTGTCTAAATTAATAGAAGTGTGGTATTAACCCACTGGCGCAAAGCTCTCTTGAATGGCACCCTGTACTTTGTTTACTCTGTTGTGTGTACTTTCAAGCAATGCTTATTAAGTGTTCTTATTTTGTCCGTCCACTATGTAGCACAGGGGTGATTTATTTCAACTGCATTTGAATATTGCCTTCTTTTCTGCTTGTCTCAGACATCTGTGGCAGTAATGGCTACAGTGGGTCAGCACTTGGATGCCAACAAGACAGAATTCCACCACAATAATCTTGTCAATGTTACAACAAAGTAACTTTAGCTTTTGTGATTATTTTTAGGTGTGATTTTTTTTTAGATGTAGTAAACTGCATTTTCCTTTCTGTTTCAGGATAAAAGTTCATGGACAAGTCAAGACATTTTTATTGTTCAACTCCAATATGCAATTTCATTGATTCTGTAGATTTATACCAACATAAACAATTTCGGATAGATTTTTCTGCTTTGGAGAAAGGATGAGGATAGGGAATGAGGAGCAGTTCCCACTGGAGTACCAAATCAGAGAGGAAGCTCAGAAACTGAACCTGTAGCCGTATACTAACAAATAATGGTAACTTTTATCCCACTCATCATTTCAATGCAGCCTCACAAAAACAATGGAGGAATTTTCTTTGACTGGCAACATCTCACAGCCCAATGTTGCAATCCAGTCTGCTCCACTGAAATTCAGTTTCTCTGCAATTCTGCTTTCGGCACAGAGAGGTAAGTCTGTGTGTGTTGTTGGATTTACCTGGACAAGGCAGTAGGTACCATAAATCCTAATGCATCCACTGCTAATTTTTGCAGGTACAGCACTGGAATATTATCAGTCAACAAAACTAGAAATACAGGAAAATGTCCCTGGGCTTAGTGGTGAGTTCAGTATTGAAGTTCAGATACTGTTCAACATTATAAATAACAGCAAGTTCCTTCTCCTACTGAAAACTGCTCCTGGGAAAATTTTGAATGAATATTCACTAAAAATCTCCTTTGGGAAAAAAAAAAACCCTTAGCCAATATAAACAATTACATGTTGTTTTTAATGCATGCTGATGCCAGATGGTGGTACAAGAATTGCACATATCAAATGAGCTGGCTAATCTTATTTATAGATTAATGCACATGTACATATAATGGCCAGAATGCTTTCAGTGTTTGGGACTTTTTCATTTGTTTTGTTTTCTAAAATTGAGACTGTAACAAATCTTTGACCATACCTCTACAGACATCATCATAAAGAGCTAGTACATACATACCTTGCCTGAAATCCAAAGACATCAACCGTTTCAACTAAAATTACTACTATTGTTAACTGTCAGCCAGGACATACACATCCTCACACCTACATATCAGGATAGTCTTTAATGGCACAGTCACACAGGATTTTTCCAGATGTCCACTACTTAGACTCTGCAGTGGTTGGAGGATAAATTATTGTTGCCCAGGAGGAAAAAAAAAAAAAAGGTTATACTTCCTGTACTTCATTTGCTGCAGAAGCTGGTGGGTGTGGGGGAGCTGAGCTTTGACCATGTGCATTTCTATGTCATCCTAAAAATCACAAGAGTTTCAGAATGGGTACCTGAAACCCGCAGGCTTGTCCTCAGTCTCTCTGTATAGTAACAGTAACACTAAGACATCACAGCACAAGATTGTAATGAAGGTGAAGTCTGTGGAACACTTAGACACCATAATGCTGAGCCTCATTTGTATGCAAGCCCACTTTCCTAAGGGAAATGAATAAACCAGTCTTCTCGTCAGCATTAGAAAAGAGTCGGAGAGAGAAATCAGGTAGCCCCATGCTGTACTGCATACTTTCAACTCTAAGACCAGCATGCCAATGTAAGGGCGCGGGCGCGCTGAGCTGGAAGGCACAGGAGTTTAAGATGTCCCCACGTACTTGTTTCTGACCCGTGGCAGAGAGCTGGCAACGTGGGACAGGTGAGTTGTCCCCAGGCTGCTGGAAAGTCAAATGTATGGGCGAGTCCGGGCTTCCTCTGACAGAAATCGTGGCTGCGCCCCAGGGAAGGGCTGTGCAGCAGGGCAGGGCTGGCACAATCCACTCCCCTTGCCCAGCTCTGGTGGCCACCAGCTCTGGTGGCCACCAGCTCTGTGCCTCTGCTGCTGCAGCCCCTTGCTAAATGAGTGTACGTCTAAAGCCTAATGCGCCCCGAGAGGAACAGCAGAGTAGCTTGGGATCCAGGCTAGCTGTGGCACTGCCTTGCGCTGGATGAATAACTCGCAGTACTTAGCATTAACTGCTTCCTTTTTGTGTATGTTTCTAAAAAGCAGTTGCTCTGTAAGTATTAAGCCTGCTACCATTAAGTTTTATACATTGCCCACTCGTCCTTAGAAGACTACTTAGGAATGACTGTCTGTCTCTGACATTTGTTATTCTTTCAGTATTTGTTTAAGCTTCTCTAAACAAACGCTTCCTGGTTAAAATCACGTATCTGTGGTCACTGACTTCAGCAGTGCCAGGATTTCAGAGCTTCTTTTCGCTCTGACTTCATAGAACAGCATTGGTAATATTTATTTGTTTCTGTATTTCCCTTTATCTTATGCATGTCCTCATTGCACAAAATGACTATATTCTAGAGAGATTCCCATCTGTTTATGCAAAGACAACAGTATTTTGTATTTCACTGAATACAACTACATTTACTTGCTGCTTTATTGTCACTATACAAACAAAGACTGGTTTTGACTTGTAATTCTTCATAACATCTTATCATAGACCTGATCCTTAGAAGCCAAAATTCAGAATGCACATCAGTATGAAAAGTTAAAGCTGCTTTTTCCAGTCTGCGTCACCTTGCATTTTTCTAGGAATAATTTAATCTGCTATTTTACTGAATATTTGATTGACATGTTAAGTCTCTTTCTAGAGTTCTTCACAAGCTTCTCCAGTTTTGAGGTCCAGAATAATTTTGTGTAATCTGCAAATTGTGGCAGTAGCTAGCAACAGTTATATCTTCAATAAAACATTTTTGTTTCTATGTGCAACTAGAAACACAAATTTTAGAAAGAACGTTATCTCTTCTCATCTTATAACTGATACAATTTGTTTTCTAAGCCTTTCAGATCCAATATAAATACGCGAGGCCTTTGGACTATATTTCTTACATTGGTGTTGGACTGTCCATGGGTGGTCTGATTATTACCATTTTGTTTCAAATATTCACTAGGTAAGACTGAAGATGTAAAACTGCAAGTATCTTATGCTAAGTTACAATATTTTGCTCTGTATATAGTTTGAGGAAAACGAAGGGGGTAGCCAGTTTAGAACATATTGCAATATTATTGACCAGCAAAGAATATTAAATATATTATAAAATTTATTAAAAAAAAAAAAAAAGACCTAATCATGTAGCATAGCTTGGGAAGTAAGTGTGGCTTACTGGTTAAAACGAAGACATGAGATGTCTCAGCCATGCCATTCATGTAGATGAAACTTTATCCTCTCTGTTAATGTTAGTCCTTTAATGTGAGGATATAGATATGATTATTGTTCAATAAATCCACCTTAAAAAATGTGAGCTTTGAAAAGAAACAATATAACAGAGTATGGAAAAACCCAGTAGGGTAAAAGGCCAAACCTTTCATAGGAAACACCGGGCATGGGCACTGACAAGAAAAATCTTTCCATCACTTTGACAGGGCAGCTCACCAGCTATAAGATAACAAAGCAGGCAGCATGTGGTACTGAGGATCAAGTCAAGGATTGGTCCTTTTACCATGGGCTCCCATCATCATGTCCAATCTCTGGGTAATGTCCCAGAGTGACATCTGTCCCATCTACACGGGGTAAGGGCCTGTGATCTGCCATTTCTGTTGCATTTCGTGTCCCCCGCTGCCTCGCTGACATCTCCCTTACTACCCTGGCAAGGCAGGTGACAACACAGACCCAGCACTGTATTAGTGCTACACTGGTGCATGCTACATGTTGAGGTGTTCAGTTCATTACTCTCACTTAATACTAGGCTTTCAAAATGTCTAACAGTATTCCACCACCAGCATGACCCCTTTTTATTTCCCGGGTATTACAATGTCTAACTAATCAGCTGTCTGTCTTCTAGCCGGTTACCAATATGCCTGTTAGTTGGTGTCTTCATTTAAGGCTAGTCATTTCAGCCCAGTGTCTTATCACTTAGACTTTTAGCATTCATGTAGAAGTATGTATGTTGTTCCTCAGGTTCTCTTCTTGCTATCCTATTTAAGTATTACTTTGCTTTCTGTTGCCTATTTGACAGTTTCTATACTCTAGTTCCTTCTGTTTATAAAATGTCTGTAGAGAACAGGTGATTTCAAGCACCATGCTTATACAGCAATGTAGATTATGTACACCGCTTGTGCTACAGTTTTATTGTGAGTGACTTAATTCAAATACAATTGCAGCAAACTCCCTTGATGGATGTGCCCGTGATTAATGGTGTCACGTGATTCCCCCTTGAACGAGGAGCAAAGTCATGCCAACAGAGTTGCAGTTATCGTAGATGAATGCGATGTTTCTCATCCTGCTTGCACTAATGTAGAGTTGGAGCAATTCCATCAAGGTCAATGTATTTATGATTGTAAGAGCTTCCAGACTCTGCCTTTTAAATGCATTTATAAAACAGCATTTGGAAATGGTGGTTTATGATTCTCTTGTACCTTGAAGAGTGTTTAGAAATACTTGTCATGCAATTTCACCTCTTAACACTGAAGAAAAGGATTCTAAAAAGAGCAGAGTGGAAAAAAGAAAATGCATCCCAACTGCTGTTGGAAAAGGCCCAGTCCTAAAAGGTGCTGGATATTCTCTGTTCGAGTTGAAATCAGACAAAACTGATGGATTTGGTAAGTTGTCTGAGAGTAATGACAATGTAGAATTCTGCAAACAAGTTACTGCTTTGTTTTCTCCCTGTATTAAAGACTGCACACTCTACCTTTCTTTTCATATCAATGGAAATGAGGAAACATTCTACAATTTTTCTCGTTTCGCTCCACTTTTTTCTCCTAAATATATTCCTACCAATAGGAAAACTCAAAAGTTGTCTGTAACGTGGATGCTAGTGAGTCTCTGTTTCTCTATGCTCATTTTTAACATCGTCTTCATCTCTGGAATTGAAAACCAGAATGCCAAGAATCACAGCAGCGATACCTTCTATCTACGGAATCACTACCAGTGATACCTTCCTCATGATAATGCCAGCAACACCTTACTCGCACCTGACACAGCAGATCCTCCCGCAGACTCCTGGTGCAGAGCCATGGCTGTCCTACTGCACTATTTTTTGTTGGCGACACTTATGTGGACAGCACTCGATTCTGCACAGTTGTACTTATGGCTGCTTCGAGCCACGAGGCCCCTGCCTGGACTTTTCCTCGTGACCATGTCAGTAATCGGATGGTGTAAGATTTAAAGCCATATATATGGCAACTCTTACCAAAGTATCAGTACATAGTACATTCAGGGAGAGCTATAAAGATAGGAGATCAGTAGAGAGCAATTACAATCAGCATCTCTGGTTTAGTGCAATGTGATGTAATAAATAATCTCCCGTTACTGCTCAGACTACTGGTATAAACTGAGCTTGTTTTCATTGTCCTGGTACGGCACTGAAACGGATGGCTTGTTCACTGGCACAGCAACATAGGTCTGTTGTGTGAGGAGAAATTTTCACACCAATCAAGGCATTCAACAATCTGTTTCTGTCAACTAAGCGAAAAACCTTTCAGATACAGCGATTGCATATATGGACTCATTTTCTTCATTTAGGTATCTCTGAGATTCCTCATGACCTCAGCCAGAGCCCTGCATACATTCTAAAGCAAGGAGTGTCTGACATTACTTGTTACATATTATTTATTAATAAGCAAAGAGCACGTTCTTAAGTCAGTACAGCAGTTAGCAGCAACACTGCAAGCTGAAAGGGAACTACTTGGAGGACTGAAGAATGCATGCGCACTAGGTTAAGTAAAAATCTCACCCTCTTTCAAGAAACCCTTCTAATACAGTGTGCAGGAATACCTGCCTTTTCCATGGTGTGTATTCAGCTTGTGTGGTGTGTTGTTTCTCATGGCAACTACCAAGCAGTTTTAGATCCTGACTGTTTCTTTATTATGTTTGCATTTGGGTGGAGGTAGAGGCAACTCATCTAAAACTCTTAGAACTTGGACTGCATGTGCAAGGCAGAAAATGTTCAGCAAAAGCTGTTTGGCTACGCGTCACTGTGCTCCATGTGTGTTTGCAGGACAGCACAACAGCAGGTTCTTCACTGTGTCCTCTGACAAGTTACACATGCTCACAAGAGCATGACCCCACCTCACCGCTTTTCAGATCTACTTTGAGAGTACAGTGAATACTTGACAGTCTGGAGGATCTCCGTTAGGGCTGAAGGAGGAATAGGCTTTCAGAAGCGTGTTTATTTCCCAGACAAACGTTTGTGCGGGAGGCTCCTTCCCATGAGATGTGCTGCTTAGCAGGTAGGTAGGCAGGAGACATGGAAGGCAGGAAGGGCGTCCAGGAGGCAAGCCCACGCTGCCTTGCTTCTCGGAGGGCAAAAGTTATGCTCTGCATCATGCTGGCATGACATGTAACGGTACTTTGGTGTAGAATTTTCCTAAATTAGTTTCTCACTGCTGACAGGAGGGTAGGATTGCGCAGCTGTGATGAGGCTGTCAGCTACAGGACAGGAAGGAGTTTGCCCTGTCACCGTCGGCGTTGCCTCTGGAAGCTGCGATGAAGCTCTTTAAAGGCAAAAATCAGCAAGTCATGGGCATGAGCTGTCCTCAGAAAAATGGTGCTCACAACCCTCAGTCCTGCCTTTTCTCTAGGCTATAGAAAACCCACTTATCTTAGTGCAAAGCAGATGAAACAGAGCTCTTAAAATCCATGGATTTTAGGAGGCAAGAAGCTATTTGTGTGGAAGGGAGGTACGTCTATGCAACTGAACAATAAATTGCTAATGTCTCTCCTATTAATTAGGAATCCCCGCCTGTAGTAGTTGCAATAGCACTTGGAGCTACTTACAGAGAAGGAAAAGCTTTAAACTACTGACAGGAAGAATTCTAAGTTCACGTATTGTTACAACACTTGCTATCCCACACATTCTGTGATGGTTTATTGTTAATACAATTCCAGATTTATTGTTGGTATATTATTTTGTATACCTAAGTACTTATTACTTAAAAGAAAACAAAACTCTTCAATTAACTACAGAGAAATTGCAGTTTCTCCTCACTAAGGATTTAGGGTACTAGATCCACATCTGCCTTGAATCCCTCTGCAAGATCCTCTGTGACATTAAATGGAAGCTGTAGATGCTCTTAGACTAACTGAAATTCAAGACCTTCATTTTAAGTACATAACTGCATTTCAGTACCTAAACTTAATCCTCCCATTTCTTTAAAATCTTTCTGTCCAACATAACTATATCCCTCTTTACCCTATGTTTTTGGTATCGGTATTCATTTAAATGCCCGCATCCCAAAGCAGGCTATCAGGCTTACAATGTACCTTGGCAATACTGGATGATACAGAACAAAGGTAGACCTTTTGGAAATGTAAACACAAACCCCCTTCCACATGGTGGCCATCATACAATACTCATTTAGGGAGTGTTGACTTGAGATTATTTGGCAATGAAAAAAGTAGTAACGATTTTGCAGGATAACCCTGTCCTCCTGAAGTTGCCCCCGTTTTTGCTTCAAGCTTTGTCCATTACTCTTTAGCTCTATTATAAGATATACTCTAAAGTGAAACTTGCATATAGTGGCCAGATATCTATTTGGTTAGCTATATTGCACCTTATTATATTTCTCTATGCAGTTTGTTTGACAAATCATTTTGCATTCCCTGGAGAAAGAGAAACATGACTGAAAGCCCTCAGTTCTCAAGAATGGTTGCCTTTCAGAGATAGACCTAGAAAGCCCTATAAGGTCTTTCAGGATGAAAAGTGGAACATTATTTTGTTTTGCTTTGGTATTCTGAATATGCAAGCTACATAGTCCAAACACAGATTATTCTGATAAACTTGGATTTTTCTTTCTGGATTTCTTCTCTGGATGATATACCAAACAAATGTAGGAAGGTGTACATTGTCAACTCAGCTGAATAACATATATTTGCAATATAGTCCTGAATAAATAGAAAGTTTAACGCTTAAAAAGATATTAAATGTTATAGAGAAAGGTTTAATAAGTTTTATGTGTGTGCTTCCAGGAATAAAAAGGATTCATTTATGAAAAAGGTGACTGGCACTATCTCTATAGTGGTAGTGCTCAGAACCACATGGACGATAGGCTACCTCATATTAGTAAGTCATGAAGAAACAAGTCTTGTTTTCGGCTATATGTTCTGCATTTTAAACGCTACCCAGGCAAAGTATTTAGCAACTCTGAGACTAACAACTGCGATAATGAAAAAAAAAAAAGTCAGATTTATTTGTTCTGTTGCTTGGTATAGCCTGAGAACTTGTTGGAAAGCAGTTATAGAATTCCGGATTTTTCTTCAGAAAGGGATGCTATCCTCTGGTCTGTCACTCATAGAACCCTTCCCATTGTGCAAATCAATGTGGGATTTTATTTCAAGGTCACCAGTGAAAAGATCTTCCTGTTTGAGTGTCTTGCCTGATAACAGATTACATATAAAATTATATTCAGAATAAATATCAGGAAAAAACTTCTGCATCAGCTGTGGGAAAGAGTCCCTAGAGCTTCATGGCTTGAGACCTTTCACAATGATCCTGGATAAAAGCCTATAGGAAAGTGCCTGCCTCTTTTTCCTGCATTGCCCTCCTGGATTTTTATATTCATAAAGGGCGTATGAAATACTTGGAATAATGGATCCTTCATTATTACACCACTAAGTATATTACACAAAACAGGTAATTGGAAATATGTGAAAATCCCCCCATCCCCAAATATTAAGTTGCTTACTATCGGTTTGATCTACTGAAAACTGGGGGCCTGTACACCAGTGGGGATCAGATCTGCAAACTCTCTGTGCAAAAAGTCCTGAAGTGATTATTACTACACTGATGGATGGATTATACCCATGGTTTAAAACTGAAATAAAGAACAGAGAACAGAGATCCATTTATTTAAAAGCATGAAACTTTTTTTTTTTCAAACACAGGATACTCCTGATTAATCCTTGAAATGAGAATTTAGAAAAATAGGTATAGAAATTTTGAAGTCCTGCTTCCCTCCATGTGTGTCTGATTGAAGTGCTGACACGGCACACCGGCCACACTGAACGCTTAGGGCGTGCTCAAGCAGGTCTTACCTTCATCCTATCCAGCAGAGGGTAATAATAGGATCCTGAGTCATGCCAGCTAATCCGTTACAATGTGCAAATGAGACGACTGTAATTGCAAATCCATAGTTACATGGAATAATTTTCCTATTAAAAGTACTTCTTGTATTTCAAGATATTAATGTCATTGTTAGTGGTTACTGAAAATTGTTCTGTGGTTGTTTTTCAAGTCAAATAATATAGACTAATCTTTCCTGGTTTTATCAGCAAAATATTAACTCTGCACTCCCATTGACTCCTACAGGGACTTCAGATTTGTGTTCTGTGTACCTTCAGATCACCAATCTTCAAGAAAAAAGTTTCCAAAGTGTTTCTTGTTTTCTGCATGCCAGAGGTACCACTATATCTGCATTCAAAAACTTACTACATTTCAAAACCACAGCCTGCAAAACAAAACATTCACAGGAAACTTTCAGATCAGAGAATATTTCCCTGTCTACCTTCCCTAACTGGAGTTAGAAACCTGTAAATACGTGAAATATAACCCTGCATTTTTCATGGTTTGTTTTATGCAGATCTCCCAGGTATCTTGAATGACAGACATACTACTCCAACTGCAGGTAGCTTGAAATAGATCACGAGCCAAGACCACCTGGAGTCAAAAGCAGGATGACATGCCAGCAAGGCTGTGCGATTGTTGAGCAGCAATGCAGTGCTAGATCCTCTTGATCCTACTGGTACTGCATGTGACCGAGGAAGGTCTTTGAAAAGGAGTAGAGGTTATTTTAGTTTTACATTACAGTACAGATGCATAGAAGTTGCTCTATTTACGCCCTTCTCATTTTTCAGGCCTGTTGAACATGTTTACCTAGCCCATGTACTGCAGCTCTCCTCTCCCTCTTGGTTTCTAAACTTAGGGTATAAGTAAATATAAACCCTCACCCTTCTCCATCCACCTTTTATTAATATTATTCAGTACAAAAAGGAGGAGAGTTTCTGAATGTTGAAGTGAGGAGTAAGGGAAGAGGAGAGTACCTTGATGGAAGGAAGCGTACGGTGGCTTGAGCAAGCAGCTCTTCCCACTTTGCGACCCTGAGCAAAGTGGTAAGGCCCACTGTAGTGGGTTCTTGTCTAACAAATGGGAAGAGTTGTACCTACTCATCCCATTCTCTCCTGTGTGCGAAAAAAGCCTGAGAAATTTAGACATTTTAATTTTTAAAACCCCTACTTCTTTATTCTGTTATCTGAACAAATATATTTGTATGTTTTGCCATCTCTGGTTTTAATAAAAAAAGAACACCATGTTGAATTTTAGATAATCTGGTTTAAGAAGTGTGGTCGGATTTACCTCCCGCTTTCATTTTTTCTGAAAATGAATGGGGTGTGTTTTGAAAACTTCCAAGCTGCTCCAAATAAGGTCATGGGCACAATCAAATGCGATGGCTCAACATTTAGGGATAGTACATCTGAATACACCGGACATCGTACCTGAGACATTGTGAATGTCTTCATAGAAGTGTTTCAGCGGTCCTAAAAGTTCTCCATGTCTCAGAAATCCACTCTCTCTATTAAGCAGAAAATAACTGTTCCCTAGCACTGATAAGCCTCTGAAAAGAGCAGTCACATCAGATACAAGGCTGAAGTTTGTCACCACTGCTCCAGAAAAGGCAGAGAAGGTCATTAAAAGTTATCTAGCAAAGGTAATTAATACTACTTTTTTGAGCAGGAAGTTTGTGTTTCTATGGGCATTCATTGTTTATTTGTAAATCAAACGTATAATACCTGTCTCTGTAAATTCCTTCAATTTAACTGAAGAAAGAGTATTTTAGAAATTATAGTGTGGTTTAGGATGGATGATATTTGATTGTGTTGTAAAACACAGCTACGGACTGTGAGGATGGCTCGGTAAGTGCATGGTAATATTTTTCTAGTCTTTGATATTTCCCCCCCCAAACAAAAATGGTTTCTAAAGCACAGCCCATTTAATTTTGAACACATCTCTTTTAAAAAAAAATAAACACATTGTCTCCATATTATACCAAAAAACAAGCAAAAAACCCAAGAAGAATTTGAAGTATTGAATTGGAAAAGCATTGACTTTTTACTAATTAAACATCCTGTATCTAAGTATTTCAGAGGTTAATAAAATGCTGTTATAGCCAAGACTGAGCACGTCTCACCCAACGTAAAAGATTTTCAGCATTAAAAAACACAGAAAATTATACATTTTATGGCTTTTTTTTTTTTAATCCAGGGAATCCTAATTTGAAAAATGAAATAAAGCAAAATGTTCTTTTTCAGGTTATATGTTTAATTGTTACAGGAACAATAGTTCATCTCTTATCTACACGTGGAATATATTAATCTCAATAACACAGTGAACTTTGGTATTCTTTGTGGGCTTTAAGGATCATGAAGTTTCTTCTGGTTAACCCTTTGGAAACACTGCTTTGATAAAGAAAAGGACTGGAGAAGGACTGAACCATCAGTACAAAGGTATGAAATATGAGTGGCAGAGAGTATAATGGATAGGAAGGTCCTACTTTCCAGATCTCTTTCCTATATTTTTAAAAGCAAGGAGATGTTTTTTTAATGCATTGAAAACACCCAAATTATTTCTAAGTATTTTCTAATACTTACCAAAGTGGTCTCCTGACCCATACCCCTCCTCCTCCTCGAAATACTTAGAATTAAAAACATGTATCACATTCAGCTTTTTTCACCTCCATTTCAGTGTGAATAACACACGCTTATTGCTAGCTGGACTTGTTATTACACTCCTCTAAGTACAGACAAAGCTCTAAGCATGGACGAATACTACAAAAACCAAATCCTGTAACTTTTTTTCTTGTCCCAGCAGACATTGCCATTTGGGAGCCTTGCTTTTCAAGACACTGAAGAAAAAGGTGTCTTTCCAGAGGCATGTCTAACTCCAGGAAGTAACTACCTACAGTTGTGCTTTAGCTAGCTCCGCATACGTACTTCCGTCATATGTACTAGCATGTGTAGCTTCACTTGTGAATGAAGGCAGCAGAAATCTCAACTATCGTAGAGTAACAGAAGTCCAGTTCCAGCAGCTGTGCGCGAGGCAGTCGAGTCCATTCTTGCATCTGTAATAGAGAAAACTCAGGAAATCAGCTTCAGATTCACGTTTTTCTCCCTTAGGTGGACACAGTAGTGCACGCCGGGAAGGACAGCCTGCCTTAGCAGGGCAACGACTGCTGGAGCACGCACAGGCTTCTCTGTGGGAGGGTGGCGGCCTGGGACATGTACGGCGGGATGTTACGGCCGCTTCTCCATCCCAGCACCGCCAGCCTCAGGAGGGC